CCCCTGCCACCGAGGGACCCCCCCCACCTCCCTGCCCGGGGAGGGGGCATGATCCCACCACCACCCGGGACACCCCTCACCCTCTCTGCCCGGAAAGGGGTAGGGATCCCCCTTCCCTGCTCGAGGAGGGGTCCTGGGGCCAGACCCACAGCGAGATGACAAAGGACGGGGCACATATGACCCTGCAGGATTCTTTAATAGCCATCGGGGATGTACAGGGCAACTGGGCTTGGGGGTAGCAGGGGCTGAGCCCCTCAACCCACACCAGGCCCATGCAGTACAAGGGGCAGCAGCATTTGCACATTGATATGGGGGCACGGGCAGCCCCGCAGTGACGCACTTGCCTTTAAATACGGGGAGGTATCGAGGGCAGGGGGGGGGAGCAGTAGTGTTTCTACACTATGTACAGCCTTGTGCTTCTGGGGGGGGGCTCAGCCCATCTGTTCCATCGCAGGCCTTTGAGAAAGCCCCCATAGTGGGGCGTCCCAGCTCTGCGGTGGGCAGGGGCACGCAGTGCTGCCCCCCAGCCCCGGCGGGGGCAAGGATGGCTCAGTTATTCTCGAAGAGGGAGAGGAGGTCATCATTGCTGCTGCTGGGGAGGTCGGGGGGCCCCAGGTAGGAGAGCAGCTCATCGGGATTCGTCAGCTCAGGCAGAAGCTGGGGGCAGCAGTGTGTGATGATTGGCCCCCCACAGCTTCTGCCCACCTCCCCACAGCAGCTGGGGTCCCAAGCCAGCAGTGGGACCCCTGGCCGCTCCCCCCGGTACTCACGTCGAGGGCAGGCTCCGAGCCATCACCTGCTGTGGCCATGCTGGGCGCAGGGGGGAAGGCGAGATCAGCAGCATGGGCTGGGGGACCCAGAGGAGGCCGTGCCACTGCGCTCCGAGGGTGCAGCATGGGGGCTGGCTGGATGCCTGAGGGGGTGCTGTGCAGCCCTGGCTGCACCGGGGGGTGGGATGGCTCCATCCGTCCCGATGGGGGAAGCTGCGGAGGGGGGGGAAGAGAGCACGGCCATAAGACCCTCCCTTCACTGGGACCCCCAGTGCTCCCAGTGAGATGTAGGGGCCTTGGGCATAGCTGCCCCGCTCGTAGCCCAGCTGACCTGTGTGGGCAGAGGGGGCACAGAGGGTTTCTCAGGGGCCAGGAGGCTGCCAGGGATGTTGGGCTGGTAGGAGATGGAGGGGGGGCCTGGTGTGAAGTCACTCAGCGTTGGGGTGCCAGGGGCGCCAGGGGGAGGGAAAGGCTCTGGGAAGCCCCCAGGTCCTGGAAAGCTGGAACCTATGAGAGGAAATGGGGCAATTGGGACACACACACACACAGGGGCAGGGTCCAGTCCTGTCCCCCATGGGTCTCCCCATACCCGGGGTGCTGTAGTCAGCAGCAGCCCCTGCCGGAGGCTGTGACAGTGCCGGGAAGGGCACAGAGCTGGGCCCCAAGGCTGCAATCATCTCCATGATGTTGGGTAGCACCATGTGAGTAGGACTGAGTGTCCGGCACCGCTTCAGCACCGGTCCCTCCGGTTCCTCCTTGACGTGGATGTCAGGTTTGATTGGGACGGGTTTCCAGCTGCAGGTCGGGTCAATGGTGATCTCTTCATGTTCCGAACTGAGGGCAGCAGGAGGGCGGGGAGGTAAGGTTGGGACATCTGCTGCACAGCCCCCCCAGTGATGGTATAGGGCCAGGCATGGATGGATGGATGGATGGACAGTCAGAGCAAGGGCACTTACTTCTGGATGTATATCAGGATGCCCAGCATGTACTGGTCCACCTCCAGGCCCTCCAGCAGGGCCGTCTTACTGCAGGCAGGGTGCAGGCAGAGTGAGGGCAGAGAACCCTGGCAGGAACTTCCCCCTGCAAGGCAGGAACCACCCTCCCCCCACCAGGACAGGAAACATACCCCCTCTCCCCTGCAGGCAGGGACACCAGGGCATGGCCCCACTGCAGCCCCCACTCACTTGCAGACAGGACACCGCCATGTCCCTCTCTCACAGTTGAGCTGCAGATACGACTCAAGGTCGAAGCACTGTGGGGGAGACCAGCAGCTGAGCCAGACGAGGGCAGGATATTGGGTGAGGAACACCTCCCAGCACCCTGCCACCACCAGCCCTACCTGTATGTGCCGGCAATCATGACCCCTGGCTGGGAGCTGGATCCTCCGGAAGGTGATGGGGCACTTGAGGGACACCTTGATGGCCGTCTGCTCCACACCGTCCTCACCGTTGGGCCCTGGGGTCCCTGGGATGGTCCCACTGCTGAAGTTGCGTTTGACTGGGGAGGTGGGGACAAGGGGCACCAAGGGTCAGAACCGGGACAATGGGATGGGGTGGCACTTTGGTGGCACCTGGGCAATAGTGCCCCATCACCCTCATCCTGCTGTGGCCCGTGACCAGGGTGTTCCCCTGCCATGCTGCAGCCCCCGGCCCCCAGGACCTGGGTGCTCACTTTTGGTGATGCAGTGCTCAGCGGGAAGTAGGCGCTTCTTGATGAGCCCCTGCAGCACCGAGCGTACGGAGGGCCGGTGCACCAGCTGCAGGACGAACAGGTGGGACTGCGGAGAGATGGGGAGGCTGAGTTGCAGCCCCAGCTGTCACCCTCCCAGTCCCAGGACCCGGCCGTGACTCACACAGCAGCAGGCGGTGACAGTGATCTGGATGGTGTTCCGGCCGGGCTGGCAGACGTGCTTCAGGTAGAGCGGCTTGTGGGAGGTCTTGTTGTCACCGCGCTCGATGGTGAGCGGTGTGGCATTGACACTCACCTGCACAGAGGCCGGCCAGTTGGTGTTCATCTGCCGATCCTCGTGGTGGTAGCACTTGAACTGCAGTTCCAGGTCAGGCCTGGGAGCAGGCAGAGTGTGTGAGGGCAGAGGGCGTGCTCGCACGCGAGCCACCACACTGGGTGTCACCCGCACTGGGTGCTGCATTGCACCATGCAGAACCTTGCTGTGCCAAGCCACACCATGCGCCACCATATCATACAGCACTGTGACAAACCCCACAGCACCATAGCACTGGACTGTGCCAAGCCACACAATGTCCCACCATGCCATGCCAAGCCACACCCCAAGCCACCATGCGCTGCAGCGACACGCTGAGCCACCATGGCACTACCTTAAACCATGGCAAATACCACTGAACCAAACCACACATCACACCATGATGCAGCACAACGCTGTGCCAAGCCACACCAGGCCACACACTGTCATGCCACATGGCACCATGCAGCGCCCAGCCGTGCTGCCCAGCGCTGCCTCACATGGTGCCGCACAGCACCACCTGAGCAGCGCTGTGTGACACCACACCTGCAGCCCGCACCTCATCATGAGGGTCTTGTAGACAGAGTCACGCAGCTGGAAGACATGGTTGCTGACAGCCAGATTGTGCTGCAGGCGGAAGGGCTCCAGCACCACGCCGTCCCGTACCGGGAAGGTCAGCCGCAGCTCCTCACCAGGGGCTGGCCCTGCGGGGTGCCGTCAGCAGGAACCCCTGTGCCCCAGCCACACCCCAGCCACTCCCCGCACCCTGCACGGGGATCCAGTTCGCAAGAAGCCCCCACACCTCAGCAGTCTCATCCACCCAGGACAGACAGCCCTACGCAGGAAGCTCCTCCTACCCAAAGTGGCTCCACCCCCACAGCAGAGGCCCCTCCCACCCCATGCAGGAGCCCATCCCATTGAAGGCCCCTCCCACTCCAGGACACCCCACCCTATTCAAGCCCCTCCCATTCCAGGAGGTCCCACCCACAGAACAGGAACCCCTCCCACCAAAGCCACCACTCCCGATAAAGCCAACCCTCCCCCCCCCCACCCCGGGGCCACACCCTTTTAATAAGTCCCTCACCCCACTCAGTCCCACCCTCACAGCAAGCCTCTACCACCCGCCTCCACTGGCCCCAAACCCTGGCAATGGCCACACCCCCTGTGCTGAC